AAAAGACTTCATGAGCAATATGTTACGGTTCCAGTCGAGAAGACTCATCTTTGTTTTGTAAGGTTCATTATTATAACTGTATTTTAGAAGAACTTGGTTTTAATTCTACGTCTGGAAATACAACTTATACTCGCAGTTCACTTTCTGAAGATGAAATTCTTCAAAATCACATTTCAGTGTTTATTTACATTTAACATTCCAGTCAACCACGGTGAGTTCGATCTACCCAACCTATATTAGATTCATAAACTTCATAAAAATCCTTATAAAAAGAGACATTGCCGGGTCGAGCAAATGCTTTGCCAAGCCCCTATGTTCACCCCTTACAAAAATATTACCTCCTGCAAAAGAGAAATTTCAGACATACTGTTCTACAGCATATTCTAGAAGTGGTGTAGTTCATATCTGAATTCTCAAAAACTCCAAAGAACTTTTAGAAATTTAAGATCGCCAATTTTTTCAAAAGTCAGTAACATCAAAACGTACGACTTTTCTACACTTTATACAACCATTCCTCACGATAAATTAAAAACTAAACTTTTTGATATCATAGACAACTGCTTCTTCTATAAAAATGGAAGTCGTAAATTTTCGTATCTTGTGATTGGTCATCAATAAAATTACATTGTTATAAATCACTCTGATTCTACACAAAAGTACTCTGAAGTTGATATGAAAAGGATGCTGGAGTTCCTCATTAACAACATTCATGTAGTCTTTGGAGACCAGGTCTTCCAACAAACTGTTGGAATTGCAATGAGCACTAATTGTGCTCCTTTATTAGCCGACCTGTTTTTATATTCCCATGAAGCAGAATTTACTCAGAAACTTCAGAAAATGAGAAGAAGAAAACACTTGCTGTGGTCTTCAACTCAACATTTAGATATATCGACGACGTATTATCAATAAACAATAGTTATTTCCATTCATAAGTCGACTCGATATATCCTAGTGAACTTGACATAAAGACACCACAGAGTATGCCGCATCTGTTTCATATTTAGATGTTTTACTGACTATAGACAAACGAAATGGCTTCAGCTTTTCCATCGTCAACTTTCCGTATTTATGTTGTAATATCCCGCTATCACCCGGTGACCTGCATATAAGTTGATGTTACAGAAATTATGGAATGTTCCGTATACCTGGTCAATACATAGAGCCCATAGCTCTTAGTGTAGTCTACTTGTGCATTAAGTCTTCTTGAAATCGAACCAGACCTGAAGGAGGAATAGTGTCCTGAATGAATTTCACAGAAATTGCTATTTACTGGAACCATGGCAATATGATGAATATCGTTCGTCAAAATAAAAAACCAATAAACAAATCAATGCCTCTCCGTGTACCCCGTCTTACTGAAATCAAAACAAAACTAGGATAAAAAGCGTTTTTAAAAAATGTTTATGGAGAGACATAAGGACAGACAGACGATGGACAAAAACGAAACTACAGAGAAATGAATCAGTTATCAATGTTTTTCATTTCTCTGAAAGTCTATCCGATGAATGAGGCCTGTTGGAACCTCGGTTTTAAATGGGATGATCTTTTTTTTCAAAAGAAAAGATGCTGCATGATACTTCAGACTTCAGTACTTACACGGAACTAATTATAGGATAAAATTCTGATCCAAATCCTCGATCTATATCCATTCCTCTCTCCAATCCAATCCGATGTATACAATTTTCCTTAATTATTTTTTCAAGTTCATCTTCAGGAAATTTTTGTATTCATCTTCATGAAAGTTGTACACACTACTTCTAAAACAGAAAAAAGCTAGAAGATATTTTTTCTGTCATCACATAAATTGACTTATCAATTAAAAATTGATGTTCTAAATAACGTACAATAAGAAATGATAAAGCATGTAAATCATATTGTTTATGTAATTGCTGATGTATATTGTACAGCACATACTACACTTTTCCTGTGCAAAGCTTATGTGTAAATATTTATATACATATTTTGTATACTTCTGAGATGTAATGTCTCTGGTACAAATAAAACATAACAAACATAATGCACCACAATCTAGGAGTCAGAATTTTCGGACCACGACTAAATCATTTAAGTCGTAATCACCCCCAATGTCAACTTAGAACACACAATATTATGAATCAATCCTAATTAATGATCCACACTTACAAAGTTATAATTGAATTCACGGTCTGCTTTAGGTTGAATTTATTTTCTACAGATATTTTTTTACAAAATTGTGTCTGAAAAATATAACAAATTCACTTCCATTGTCTTTCTCACTTGGTATTACACCCTGCCAATTGAATTTTCATCCACTATCATTTAACATACGACAACACATCCAGCAGTTTCTCTGTCGTGTAGTTGTCATTGTAAATGTAAAAAAAATACTAGGTTTTACAATACTGTCAAAGAAATGTTTTCATCAGGGATGTTACCAAGTATTTTGTTTTCTTCTTTCAGCTAGAGCTAGTTTATAGGTATTCACACCTCCAACAGACTTTTCCTCATCATTACTGAACTTCTGCTTTGCTGCTCAAAGTTTTGAGATTCATGATTAAAATCAGTTCTTGGGTCAGGGGTTCTGGTGTTAGGACGGGGCTCTTATGATTTTATAGCGAGAAAGCATTAATTCTTTGAAAGTCTTCTCCTCTGCTCCTGGGCATTAAGCAGATGAATTAAGTGTATAGTTATGATGAGGAAGAGTGTCTCTTCCCAAATTGTGAAAGATGAGGGGTGCATTTATTATATACTGAAAATGAATTCATGTTTGAAATTATACTCCTCTGCTCCTTGGTATTATGCAAACAAACTAAATGCATAGTTATGATGAGCAAGGGTGCCTCTTCCAAAATTGTGAATTTCATGGCCTCTGGGTCAGGGGTTCTGGTGGTTGGGAGCTCTAGTGATTTTAAAGCAAAAATGCTTAATGCATTGGAAATCTTCTCCTCTGCCCAGGACTATTAAAACAAACAAACTAAATCCAATAATATAAATGTAAATGAATGTCTATGCTCCTTGGAATCTAGGAGGCAAACTGAGTTCAAAATTGTAATAAGGGAAGCAAATGAGAGTTACTCCATTTTGCTAAATTATTTTAATCAAGAAATCCTTGTGTATAATTTAACTAACAGGTTATTTGAATGAATGGGAATACAAGGAAAAGATTGACATAAAGATTAAAAGGCGAATGTACTGAAGTATCCTGTTTGAAATTTGACGAGTTATTGACAGGTAAAGTGATGGTTGGAAAGAGATTGCATAAAGTTGTTCTATACTTTATCAAAGTGATCACAGAGAGCTAGGGTGACTAGGGGACATGCTGTAGTTAGTGACAAGTGGCATATAGCTAAGTCTATCTTTGTGTACTTAACTGTAGCACTGGGCAAGTGGTAAAACCATGGCAAGTGACAAAAACATATATGTATATATTGAATACCTTACACAAGTGTCCATTGTATTTGTATGCTTTACATCATTATCATCGTTGTAAGACTTGGGAAAACCAAGTAGGATCACGAAGAGATCACTCGGGTCTCGCACGTTACAATAAGCAAGGGTATTTTTACCAGATTTAGAAATTCTTAGCAACATTGCTTCATCTAGCAGTTAATTTTGTTTTATACTCCTTGACAGTGTTGTATTATACTCAGGTGACCGTTAAGGCCCTTGAGCCCCTTGTTTTTTTGTTGTTGACAATTTGATTGTGTGTGGTGGGGGGGGGGGGGGGGTCCGAGTCCCATATTTATTTTCATGCCATGCCAATCAAGGACAGACTATTTTTTCCAAGATAATCAAGGACAGATTAATCACAGGCGACAGTTTACATTGTTAAGGCGACAGTTTACATTGTTAAGACAACGATCTCGATGATGGAGGTGTGCCTACCGAACTTCCGAAATGCAGTGTTTGTCAGCTGTTGTTTGTGGCGTGATTGCATTACATTAATATCTTCCAAAAGATTTTCAAATTTATTAAGAGTAAAGTTTAATGAAAAAAAAAATAGCATTCAGAGGTCTACAAGAAAAATAAGGGTAAACGTTGAGACTATGCAGCTCAGATATGGAATTTATAACACATAATTTTCTACTCTCTATGTAAAATCGATCAGGAACTGTATTAATTATTCGTTTACATTGTAAATAAAATGATTATTATTTTACTTGGGTATTTTGTACATTTTTATGCATGAAAAACATGCTATATTGCTAAGTAGAGTAAGTCTTTTTATGTAGATATTACTGCGCTGTGTGATTAGGTCACGTAATGACCTATGACCTTCGAAAAACTTCACACAGGTATGAATTAAGGTATTTGCTCTCTGTATGTTTATATAATAGAGAGATACCACAAATGTATATATTTAGGATTTTCGAGTTTGGAAAATTTACGTTGGTTTGTCGAATTAAATTTTGGGGGGTTGCCTCCCCCTTTTAAAACCGTTGCTACGGGCCTGTATGCTCAATGCGCTCCAAACACTTAGGACGTTTCTTCGATTCTTCAATTACAATATGAACTCTGATGAATGCCATAGAGAATACTCTCCATTTTCCCACCTTGTGACCATGGTGGCTCATATTCTAAATAACAAACGTAATGTGCTAATAAAATAAGAAATTCTAAATTCTAAACAAAACAACGATGCAAGTGTGTCGTGTCTAGGTATGATTATGCCCTTCACCAAGAAAAAAAAAATTTCGAGCTCGCCAGGATTCGAACCTGGAATCTTCTGATCCGTAGTCAGACGCGTTATCCATTGCGCCACGAGCCCTCTTGGTATATAATGCAGTTTAGTGTTTATTTAAACATTTTTTGTGAAGGCACATGCACTTTAAATGGAAATATTTAAGAGGAAACATTAACTGAACCTTTGAAACAGATCATGTCAATAGGTATCTGCAATGCTTTGTGCAATACACTGTAGCTTCACACAGAAGCTCTTACATTGTACCTTGCTTAGATTAGAAAATGATCCGGTTTTAACATTTATAGTGTTTCAACATTTTCCGGGTTAACTTTGTAAACATTCGATTCGTGACTTTGAAATACGTTATTCTGTCTTCTAAAATGCTTCAGGTTTTTCTTTGGTGTTCAGTTATTTCTATAATTCTTTATTTAACAAGCAACACATTCAGATATTATGCGAAATATGGAGTATATCTTCTGGTTTTGACGATTATATCCACTATAACAGTTCTATGGATTTTGTTCACATGCAGACCTAAAAGCAGTGAAAATTTTAGGTAAATCTGAGTCAGTTTAAGTCTAAAATCGTTAATCAGTGGGTAAGGCCACCTTTAAAATAATGTTTACTTGCCCTCTCCCGACCCAGGATGAAAAAATTGGGTTGGTAGGTAGGTGGAAATTTTGTTTTCCTTGAAAATTTCAGCATCAATGCTGAGTTTTCAAAATATATTTTCAATAATGCATAAAAAAAATAATTGCTTACTGGAGGTTAGAAAAAAGTTTTGAATCGGGCCATTTTTAGCCAGTCAGTCGGGAGAGGGCAACCAAACAATTTTTTAAAGATGGCCTAAGTCATTCATGACTTGTCGATTAAACGCCACAAAACAAGACAATGGACGGTATATATTAGGGGGAACCAGTGTAAAGAGACTGATGTGAGATTTTAACAGTCTATATATGGCAAATGGTAAATCTAGTCCTCCCGATCTCTCGGATTAAAGTTTTTTGTTGATATTCTCCTTATCGCAAAACAGATTTGGTTCAAACTTTTCAGATCCATTAACTATGTTGAAATAAATTCACAAAACACAAAAATTTCAAAAATGTTACGAATGGTGGCATCTATGAACTAAATTGAGCAGTTAGATGAATCGGTATCCGCTTTTGGTTTCTACATTTATAACTTAGTACTAGATTTCACCATTCTTGGACAGATGTCATTTTCGTACATAATGTTGTTATATATTTATGCATGTGGGAACTAACTTTTTAACATAGCAGATATGCCCAAGAAGTTTGAAGCGACTCTTTTTAGTCCATTCTGACCCTTAACCTTTGACCTTCAGGCTTGTCACTCACAATCAATAGGGGTCATCTACTCAGAGAACCAATGTACCAAGCTTGACAGTCAAGAATTTTGACCAGACAATCTTCCATGTAAAATAATTGTCTTGAGTTGACCTTGTGACCTCAAAATCAGTTAGGGTAATCAACTCCTAAGGGGAAACCAGTACACAAAGTTTGATGTCAGTCAAACAAAGGGTTCTCAAGATACTGAATGAAGAACACTTGGTCTACAAACCAATCAATGTTCCAATTACCAACAACATTACTGACTGACAAACAGGTGCAAATCAGTAGGCCCCTTTTTTTCAAGGGGGCATGTAGACACTCTAATAAAAATTAGTGGCTTTCTTAAGGGGCATATTAACAGAGATGTGCTGACAAAGAATAGTCTTGTTCTTATGTACTACTTACTACTTAGTAAGTTAGTATAATAAGATAATTTTTCATTATCATAATGATATAATTTGTTTAATCTTTTTTTTAATTTTTATTCTAATTTTTATATATTTTCTTTGATATGGCCTGAAATTATGTATTTGCTTGGATTAAAATGCTAATTTCCTTTTGCAAAGTTCTAAATACTTTGACCTATGGATTTGTATGAGCATATACTAAAAATGTGACATCTTGCTAATGATTTTACTATATACTTCACATGTGAAACATCATTAATAAGAAAATCTTTAAAGTCAATTGCAAATTTTTCACAGGTTTGCCATTTGGTCCCTTCACAAATTGAAGTACCTCTATGGCTGGGAATTTGAGACTCACGGCAAAGAATATTTAATGAATGATAAGCCTTTAGTGGTTCTTGTGAACCATCAGAGTGGTTTAGATTTATTAGGTAAGTCAGGCAATTCTTTACTTATATTATGTTTCAGATGCCTTTTGTTAAGATGCAAAAATGTTAAATTTGAACATATTTATTGTAATGATTAATACAGTGGGATTGGACACAGTTCTGAAAACTTAAAATTCACCCTTTCCCTAATATATATATACCATCAGGGGTTCAAAATTTTTTTTATCATGGTCAAGTCCAGGACTTAAAGAGTAAATTTTAGTTAAGTCCGAGGAAGAAATTTCTGAGTCCATATTTTCATGATAGATAAAATCATATTTACTTAAACCATCATTAAATATCGGAAAACTTTGACAAAATGAACAAAACATCGTTTTCGTATCGTCATTGTAATCAAGCCACGGCCTATCATCACGCCAGTGGCTTTGGAATTCGCGAACTCTCTTCTTGTCATAGGTTCCGTCTTTGGAATTGTTATTTTGATCCCCAGCTTCATGTTCCTCACGGGGTCTTATATTTCTCGTTCCCTTACTGGTAAGACCAAAATTTAACAAACTCATGTCATATGGGAGGAAACATGAGAAATTGCGTAAAAGCAGGTGTCTAACCGCAACGAAACATAAAAAGACGGATTGTATTTTTGAGACGTTCGTAATGTTTTGTGGGTATATTAACGCCAAAAAATCCACATTTTTATTCAATACATTTGAGAATTTGCTTTATTTTTAGTTTTACGAACTTTTTTCTTAACTTAAATAAAAGATAAACAAGAAACATTGCCTAGTCCCAGGACTTTTTGCGATTCTAAATGCCGAGTCCTGATCCGGAATTTGTTAGTCCGGGACGTCGGGCTTGAGGAATTTTGAACCCCTGACCATATGTACCATTACACATCATATACATTCTTATAAATTAACCTATATCACAAAAAATTATCTTGTATGTATGTATGTATCAGAAATACCCATATATACAGTAATCATTAACTGGATATTTTTTTCCTCAGGTTTAATGGAACTATGGGATTGGCGATATCATTGTACAGCTGTGGGCAAGCGATCTCTGATGTACATGGGAGTGTTTGGACTTGCCTGTTATCTTTGTGATGGGGTGTTTTTAGATAGACATGATCATGCTAAAGCTGTCCAACAAATGAATGCAGTAGTTGATCAAATACACTCCAAAAAGGTGGGCAGTCATGTAGTCTCTATTGCATCATTCTTTGAAAATATTTTACTGAATGTGACTCGTGGTATTGTGAATGCTTGACCTTAACCCAAGCAATAAACTTAACTCAAAACCCCCTTCTCCTAGTCAGCCTGATGACAAAAATCAAAAAGAAAAAAAAAATGAAATCCTACCAGATGCCCAACATAGGACTGAATTCATTATTTAAATGTTAATTTAAAGTTGTTTTTTTTAAATATTAACTTGCACATTTATTTTCCTATTTTATGGTTTCAGTTAAAAGTGTTTGTTTTCCCAGAAGGTACTAGAAATCGTAATGGTTCTATGTTGGCATTTAAAAAAGGAGCCTTTCACATAGCAGTTCAATCTCAGGTGTATATCAAAATTTATTCTTATGTATACTATATCTTTATAAAGAAATAACAAGACAAGAAAAAAACTGATTGTTAAAAGGATAACTTGGGTGGTTAAAGTATATTAAAGGATCTTAAATTGAATATTTTTCTCAAAGGTGCCAATTGTTCCTGTTGTTTTTTCATCATATAAATCCATCTACAGCAAAGAAAAGAAAATTTTTAAATCTGGTAAGTTGTGTATGTATTCACTACTAAGTTTAAAGCTCTAAGTACAACATGAAGAATGAGGCAGGCTAAAGGCCCCTTTTGGACCTTGTTTTTTGGTGTCTCTCAGATTGAAGCAGTAGTTTATAATATAAAATGCGTGATCATCCTTGTTTCAAATTAACCTTGATTTTAAATGCTCACAAATTTTCTCATTTTCTTCTTTTTTTTTTAAATTTCAATTCACATTTTCATCAACTTTCAGTCATATTTAATCTCAGAACACACAAAATGCAAGGTAGCCAATCTATCAAATGTTGAAATTTCATGCTCTAGTGTTAGGTACATCTTGTATATAAAAATCTCAAATAGCCTAGCCTGCACTCTGTGTTTTTAGAAGTAAAACATATCTAATATGAATTCATCAGAATTTAGGAATACATGTATTTGTTAACTTACCGGTACTACACCCTTGTGGCCTCTATGTCTGCTTTGTATCAAAATAAATGCTGGTTTCAAACAAGCATCATGAATTAAGGTTTTTAATACATGTAATAAACTAACATTTTTAACTGTATGTCTTTTGATTTTAATGTCAAATATACATTTTGAGAATATTGAATTAGCAGTACTAGTCCCCTACCAGAAAGTGAAATGTGGTTCTTCATGAAAAATTACAAAGGCAGTAATTCATTCAAAAATCATCGAAGCAGAATGAAATGCAAACATATTGTGTAATTCATCAAGGCAGACCTTGCATAACAATAATCAGTGGAATATCTGCAAGTGCATAGAAAAAAGTGCAGAAAACCAAGTGAGACAGTCTGACAAACAGAGGGACAGATGGATGGGTAGACAGACTTGGAGACAACCTATAGTCTCCTCCAGTTTCACTGGTAGGGGTCTGGTATGGAGTCAAATTTGGCATTTAGCATACCTTGTCCTCTAGCAATAAGAGTGCAGTACAATCTTTAGTTCAGTTTTTTTTTCTTCAAATATCTTGCTCCCTCCACACACATACACGCACACAGAGGCATGCATGCAAACATGCAAGCATGCACGTGCAGTTTTCAATACTCAACAGGTCAGAATTTCCAAACAGGATTTTTGATTTCTCATTATTTTATGAGTACAGTATAGGCTAAAACTAAAAGCATCTTATAGAACTACATGTATCAGATAAGTTAAACATGACTTTTTTTACAGGAAAAATCACCATCACTTGCCTCCCTCCAGTTTCCACTGCCGGTCGGACCAAAGACGATATTCCTGAATTAATGAATTCTATACGAAATTCTATGGTAGAAACTTATAACAGGACTTCATCTTCTGTAGGAAAAACAGAGTAGCCCTGAATGTATTCTGATGTAGACCAAGTTAACTTGTCCAAGTCCTTGGCAAACTGTGGGGCATTGTATTTCTAATATTTTCTTTTTATCTGCTTATTATTTCATCAGATTAAATTTTTTTAAACATTAAAAAATTAAATTTTAAGTTTAACAGAAATACATGTACAGTAAAACTTGTCTAATCTGGATACCACTGGTTCCAAAGAAATTGGCCCGATTAGGCAACATTTTCAATTAGACAACATCTTAAACAATTGAATTTACTGAAAGGAACTTAAAGTTTCCATTGTATTAGACAAGATTTCGGAATATCCAATATCTGCATTAGACAAGTTTCAATGTATATTCCTGTCTTTTAAGACCAAATCTACAAATATAGATTCCTCTTTGAATTTTAGACATTACAATTGTCCAACTGGGTAAATATTTTGCCCATTTACATTAAAAAAAATTTTTTTTTCATTATTGTATCCCATTTTAAGTATAACATTTCATCGCTTAATGAGTTTCACATCTGTTAACAATATTTATTTTAAACTAAATATTGTACTATTTTTAGCTCACCTCGACAAGGTCAGGGAGAGCTTATACTATATTTTTTCCAAGCAACTCTATGCACTATATCGATCAGAGTTAAATGAAAGATGCATCTAGAATCTTTCATTGTAACAGGTTTCAGATGTTGCATTTTCAGCCAATATGATCCAAAAGAATGACCCAAGTTACTGGTAATGTTTTGGAGCAGGTTAAAGTTTTAGAAGCAAGTCTCATTCCCAAGTAACTACACAAAAGGGTGAAAAATATTTCTGCATGGTTAATTTTTACTATATACATGTAATTCATTAAAAACTGATAAATGTTTTAAAAACATTGCTAAAATATTTCTATGGCAGCTATAGCTATAATTTTTTTTTCAAATCATGCACCATTGTCTAGATATAAAGCTGATACTGTTACAGGTATTTAGTTAGCTATTACAGTTTTTAGCATTCAACGGGGATAATCTTGATGCAAGGACTTTGTTTGAGCTTCATCTTATGCATATAAATTTCTATTAATCAAAATTCAACTTAGAACTGATTCTTAGATCCACATTAAAATACTAGAAATAACAGGTAGAATTACTTTTATCATAGATCTGAAATAAATTCTGCATAATTTGTGAAAATTTCATTATAAAAACAATAAATAACAATTTTTTGGTGAAATTTTCAAAATAGAAGGTTTTTAAAGTATTAGATAGTAAAATTTAAAAGTATAGAAATACTTTTTACCTTTGAATGTTTATGCCCTATAGAGTTTAAACTCACAATAATGATGCATCTAGGGATGCACACTACCAGACTTGCTTCAGATGCTTAATCTGTCCTACCTATTCCAGAATGAGTGAACAGGTTAAAGTTTTTGGTGCAGGCCCAATCCCAAGTAACTATAGGTGTTATGGTGATTAAATTTGGATGATGGATCTAGGAATGCACACTACCAGTTGCTTTGCTTTGCTAGATGTGCCTACATTTTCTGGATGATCAAATAGGTTTTTGAAGAAAGTTCATTTCCAAGTAACTATAAGCACTGTGGTCACTAAACATGCATGATGTATCTAGGTCTGCACACTACCAGAATTGCTTTGCATGCTGGATGTAACCTGCATTTTCTGGATGATTGAACAGGTTTAAGTTTTTGGAGTAGGTCCATTCCCAAGTAACTATAAACCATATGGTGACTTACTAGTAACTTGCAAGAATGATGCGTGTAGGAATGCACTCTAACCAGACTTTCTTTGGATGCTAAATCTGACGTACATTTTTTTATGAGTGTTCTTGTAGCAGGTTTATTCCAATAAGCCATATGGTGACTAAACTTGCATACAGGTGTGTATGGCATCTAGGGATGCACACTACCAGACAGGCTTCAGGTGCTGGATCTAACTTTATCTTGGTGGTTGAACATGTTAGATTTTTGGAGCAGGTCCATTCCTAAGTAAACCATTCATTCTATCAAGACCAAACTTGCATAGATGTTGCATCTAGGGATGTACACTAGCTACTAAAGAAGTGGTTTGGTATGAGACTTTGTCTTCTTGATTGTAGAAATTCATAAGTGAGATATATTGCAAGGGCACAACATTTTATCCACAACAATGAGATATTTAGTATTTTGTTTTCACTGAACAAAAAACCCAAGCTTGTGAAAAAATTTGGAATTTTATTCAGATGTTTTGCTACCGTAAATATTTTTTGAGCATTTTCAGCCAGGATATTACAGCTGATGAGTTTATTTACAGTTGAGGGAAGCATTTCTAAGATTTCATGTTAATTTGATTGTTTATCCTGATTCTCTATGTGAAAAATGACATTTTGAAAATTGTTGTTGAGTACTAGTTTTAGCAACTTTAATTGTTAATTATGTATATCTGAGGATGAAAAGACTGGGACATTTATTATGAAGTTCAAAATCAAAAAAGTATATATGTCATATTTCATCAAGCTCATTCCTCCACTATATTTAAAAAGAATTAGATCTGCTTTTTTGGAGAAAGAATGGAACTCAAATAAAAGAAGCAGATATCTGAAAGAAAATCTGAGGAAAAACCTAGATGGATGTTTTTATACCCCTGCAACAAAGGTTGGGTTAGATATATTGAAATCACCTTGTCTGTCTGCCTCTGTCTTAGCAATCATGTCTGGACCATAACTTCATATAAACAGAAACATTGGTAGTTCATACTTAAAAAAAAAAGATTGCTTAAGACCTGAGGGTGTTTCTTGATCTTAATCTAAGGTTATTTTGGCAAGGTCAAGGCCACTGGCAGGAAAAAATTTATAATAGAGGAAGTTCATATTTTTCACAAAGATTTTTTATGATCTGATGATATTGTGGTCCTGAACTCAATGTCATCTGGAAAAGTTCTAGGCCACTAGCAGAGAATGTTTATAATTCATATCTGACCGTAAATTTCTAACAAAGAAACATTTGACACACATACTTTACAGAAAGATTACTTATGACCTGAGGGTGTGTCCTGACCTTGTGCCAAAGATCGTTAATAGAAAATTCCTACAGAGATGATTACAGAAAGTGGGGCTTAGTGAAGATTTCAAATGTGATTGCAGTTTTGCATTAAATGTTTTCCTTTTTATATGTAGTAGTTCATGTCTTCAACGTCCCATTTTGATATTTTTCTGCAAGATTTTTTTCACTTGTGCCATGATAATCACAAAGTGTGAAATGCCAAAAATTGTTGAATAAATGTTCTATTAAAGTAAAACAATTTCTTGTTGTTCGTAGTGAAATGGGTAATTATGTTACCGGGTATATACCGGTACATGTAGATGATGGACCGGAAATCAGAACAAAATGTATATTTAATATCTAATCATAACATTGTGCAGGCATGTAGTATCGGGGGGGGGGGGGGGGGGGGGGGGGGCTTGACCCCCCCTACTTTTTTCCAAACATTACTTTTTACTATTGAAAACATTCATTGAAAGGCTGGTTTCCCCCCACCCCCAATTGTTGTTGCAGCATAGTCAAATCAGACAATGTGGTACTGTATGAATAAAATTTGGTGATGAAAGAAGTTGGACAATTTTTTTTTCTTTGAATATCTTGCTCTCTTTTTCAAAACTACGTGTCTGTTTTGCAAATCTTTCTTTTTTTTTTATATATCTTAGACTGGTTTACTTCTATAAGTTAACATTTCTTTGCAGTACTGTAAAACGAAAAAAGGATGACTGCATTTAACTTTCAAATTTCAAAACCAGTATTTTTCTTTCAATTGCAGGAATGGTCAACATTCTATCTGCAACTTTATGTAATTACATTAAATAAAAGTATGTATTATCTTCATTGGCGGAGTCGTAACGATTTCTTGAATATAAATTTTTGATAATTATTTCATTAATTAATTTTATTAATTAATTTATAAATAATTTTTGCTGTTTTTCCACATGTTATCACTTGATATTGCATATTGGAATGTCCATGGTCTAAATGATGACAAATTAAGTGATGACTTTTTAGCTCACCTGAGCTGAAAGCTCAAGTGAGCTTTTCTGATCACCCGTTGTCCGTCCGTCTGTCTGTAAACTTTTCACATTTTCAACTTCTTCTCAAGAACCACTGGGCCAATTTTAACCAAATTTGGTACAAAGCATCCTTGAGTGAAGGGGAGTTTGAATTCTTAAAATAAAGGACCAAACCCCCTTACAAGGGGAGATAATCAAGAAAAGACAAAAATATCATGGGGTCATTAAAAAATCTTCTTCTCAAGAACCACTGGGCCAGAAAAGCTGAAACTTATGTGGAAGCATCCTGGGGTAGTGTAGATTCTAAATTGTTAAAATCATGACCCCCCGGGGAAGGGTGGGTCCACAATAGGGAATCCAAGTTTTACATTGAAATACATAGAAAAAAATCTTTAAAAATCTTCTACTCAAGAACCACTGGGCCAGAAAAGCTGAAACTTATGTGGAAGCATCCTGGGGTAGTGTAGATTCTAAATTGTTAAAATCATGACCCCCGGGGGAAGGATGGGGCCACAATAGGGAATCCAAGTTTTACATTGAAATACATAGAAAAAATCTTTAAAAATCTTCTTCTCAAGAACCACTGGGCCAGAAAAACTGAAACTTATGTGGAAGCATGCTGGGGTAGTGTAAATTCTAAATTGTTAAAATCATGACCCCCGGGGGAAGGGCGGGGCCACAATAGGGAATCCAAATTTTACATTGAAATATATAGAAAAAATCATCTTCTCAAGAACCACTTGGTCAGAAAAGCTAAGGCTTTTGTAGAAGCATCCTGGGGCAGCGTAAATTCTAAACTATTCAAATCTTGACCCCTGGGGGGTAGGGCGGGGCCACAATAGGGAATCCAAATTGTACATTGAAATATATAGAAAAAATCATCTCAAGAACCACTTGGTCAGAAAAGCTAAGACTTTTGTAGAAGCATCCTGGGGCAGCGTAAATTCTAAACTATTCAAATCTTGACCCCTGGGGGGTAGGGCAGGACCACAATAGGGAATCCAATTTTTACATTGAAATGTATAGGAAAAATCTTTAAAAAATTTCTCCTCAAGAACCTCTTGGCCAGTAAAGCTGAAACTTATATGGAAACATCCTGGGGTAGTGTAGATTTTAAATTGTTAAAATCATGACCCCCGTGGGTAGGGCGGGGCCACAATAAGTATTACAAAAAGATCGTCTGGTGAAGAACAGCAGAACCAAAGTTATTCAGGTGAGCGTTGTGGCCCATGGGCCTCTTGTTTAGTAGTTTGTATAGAAAATACGACATTGTATGTTTAGCAGAAACAATGTTGAAAGACTCGTCAAGAAATCTTCCTGATTTTTCTCCACCTTTTGTGCTCAACTCAAAAAAGTTCAAGAAAAAAGTTAGACCTTCAGGTGGTCTACACATATACATTAAACCTACTATTTATAAAAATTTCAGAAAGGTACATCAAAGTGAAAATAGCATATGGATTGAAACCAACTTAAAAATCTCAAATCAGAGTCAAGAAATAAAAACACACTATTTTTGCTTTTGTTATATCAAACCGTATGTAACAAAAACTAAATCAGAGGAAATTTTTGCAGCTCTAGAAAATGAAATTGCAAGAATTTAGATGCAAAGGTGAAGTATTAATATGTGGAGATTTTAATACTAGGACAGGAGGGCTTCAAGATTATATAAAACATGATACAATAACTGATTTTCTGATTGTCCTTTACCTAAGAACATATATGAAAGTGGAATATCATGTAAACGTTACCAACTTGATACAAAATCAAACTTGCATGGACAATTGTTAAATACCATATGCAAAACTTATGGATTATCCATACTTAATGGAAGATTTCTTGGAGACTCTTGTGGCTATTTTACTTTTCATAATGTTAATGGCTCTAGTACAGTTGATTATATGTTGGCGTCTAGTCATTTATACCACAGAATTCAGCACTTTAATATATTGCCTCCATCAGAGCTTTCTGACCATTGCCTTATTAACACTAGAATACTGATGGATACAGATTTGTTTTGTAAAGAAAAATATAACTTGAACACTATGAAAGGGAAATTTCTCTGGTCAAGCATCTATAAAATACAGTACATAAATTATCTTTTTGGGAAAGAAATATCAAAGGAGTTATCAATGTTTAACAAAATGCTTGATGATGCAAATAAAGAAAATACAGGAGATACAAATCAGTTAATCGACAAGATGACTAATATTATTATTACTGCAGCTAACAAAAGTGTACCTTTTAAAAACTACAAAAATAAGAAAAACCTCCAAAAGAAAAATAAACAAAAACCAAAGTGGATTAATTATGACTGTTTATTACTAAGAAAAGAAGTGCGAAATTTAGGCAAAAAAATTTCACGATATCCAAACAACATTGAGTTGCGGCATGCTTTTTCAAATGCTAGGGAAAATTACGACAGACTGAGAAAACATCTTAAATCGAAGTATTACAATAAAATTGCTGAAGAAATAAATTCAATAACACCAAACAAAACTCAAAATTTTTGGAATAAAATCAAAGAAAATAAAGTTAAAATGACAGAAGCAGAATCCATTAACACTTCAGATTTTGTTGATCATTATAAAGGCCTGCTCAGTAAAGAATATTCACCTGAAGAAAATGAAAGGTACAAATTTGAGAATTTTAATCTAGAACCCCGTCCATTAGATTATGAGTTCACCCAAGATGAAGTTAGAAAAAGTATACTGAAATTAAAAAATGGTAAAAGTCCAGGTCCAGATCTGATTTTGAATGAATTTATAAAAGCAGGTAGTGATGTACTTTTGCCTGTTCTCACAAAATTGTTCAATATTATACTTAAAAATGGGGTTATGCCCAAGGATTGGAACCTTTCACTTATTACATCACTTTACAAAAATGGTGATCCAAACGATACAAACAATTACAGAGGTCTTAGTGTTACAAGTTGTCTTGGGAAACTCTTTACTGAAATTTTACAACAACGCTTACATTACTATCTTGAATCTAATAATCTTCTCAGTCAATATCAGTCTAGTTTAGAAAAAAAACATAGAACTACGGACAATATCTTTGTTTTAAGAACACTTATTAGCAAATATACATTTAAAAATAAAAAGAAACTATTTGCCTGCTTTGTAGACTTTTCCAAAGCCTTTGACACAGTTTGGAGATCTGCACTTTTACATAAAATTAATAAAAAAGGCATTGGTGGCAATTTTTTGAAACTTTTATACAATATGTATACAAATACTTATTACTCCTGTAAAAAGGACAATCAAATCTATGAAGAATTTTTAGCAAATAGAGGAGTGAAACAAGGTGATAACCTGAGTCTAACACTTTTCAATATTTTTATTGATGATTTTGTAAAATATTTCAATAATACAGCCACAGATCCAGCTCATTTAGATTCATTACCTATTAAACCACATGTTTTTTGCTGATGATCTTATTCTTGTATCAGAGACACCTATTGGTTTACAGAAATGTATAGATATTTTAAGTAAATATTGTCATGAATGGAAATTATGTGTGAACATGGAAAAAACAAATGCTATGATTTCTTCTCAAAGTACAAATAATGAAAATGAGTATGGCTTTTACTACAATCATATCCCTATAGAAACAAGCATTCTGAGAGTATTGCATTAGCAATACTAGTCCCCTACCGGCAAGTGTAATCTGGTTCCCGTTAAAAATTGAAAATGCCATAATTCCGTCAAAAATCAATGAAGCGGGACGAAATGCAAACTTGATATATAACTAATCAAGGTAAAGTCACATACCAAAAATCAGCTCAATATCTGAAAGCGTTTAGAAGAAAATTGCGGAAAACCCTTAAAAATTGAAAAGGCCGTAATTCCGTCAAAAATCAATGAAGCGGAACGAATTGCAAACTTGGTCTGTAAATCATCAAGATACACTTACATACCAAAAATCAGCTGAATATCTGCAAGCGTTTAGAAGAAAAGTGCGGAAAACCAAGTGGGACAGACTGACAGACAGACAGACAGACTCAGAGGAAACCTATAGTCCCCTCCGGTTTCACCGGTAGGGGACTAATAACAAATCAGTATAAATATTTGGGACTTGTATTTAATTCTGATGGGAAAATGAAATTCTATGCAGAACAGCTGTCAGAAAGAGCTAGAAAGGCCTATTATGCTATAAAAACTAATTTTCCAGCTAATATAAATTTTTCTGTTGAGACAATATTAAAACTTTATAGATCTATGATTACTCCAATTTTAACTTATGG